CAGATACAAACATTGCATTATAACTAATCTGGAGAACCTTACATGGGTCTTTAGTTATATATTTCCATTCTATGCTCTTTTTACTTCTATTGGTATGAAATGCTGCTTACGAGTTAATGCATGAATAATAGTAATCTAATAATATATCTAATATTATAAACCTTTGAAGCAGTCATTCTGCATAAGGACTTATATTGTTTTAAGTTGTGATAGGCTTATTGCTGCTTTCTACTTACGGAAAAAGAAATAAAGCATTGTTGATTCCCTTAAAAGAATTGCTCAATTTAAATCTCAATAAATATAAATTCATTATTCATCTTATTGCTACTTTACTCTGTATATGATGTGTTTGCTTGCTTCAGGGCAAATTCTATATCTTTGCATGTTTGGCTGACCTGCTGTGCACGCGCTCTTTAGATTCTTCAGGTTACGCCAATATTAATTGGAAGTGGTTGATTGGAAATAAGCCAGTTGTCGAAAGTGTGTGTCTTACTTGTTATTTGTGTTAAATCCCATGATTCTATTTAGGAAATTAAATAATTACATATCTGAAGATAAAGTGTGATATCAAAACCACACAATGTAAAGTTTAACTTGTAATGGAGTATTTTTACATCACTGTATTTCTACAGCAGTATTTCGATCTGAATACTTCTTCTACTTCTTTTCTGCCTCGTTTCTTCCCTTCCTTCCTTCCTTCCTTCCTTCCACACTTTTTCTATCCTAGCTCTTCTCGTCTTTCTCTGGTTCTCTGATTGACAGCTCTTGTTACTGGACACTAGCTACATCTGATACCAGATGGTTTACCTGCTCACACACACACACACACACACAGCCAGTAATATAAATAAGCCTGTGTGTGTGTGTATGTGTGTGTGTGTAATTGAAACCAGAGAGAATCAGCCTGGTAATTAATCAGGCTTAATGGTATTGGTTGTGTCATGGGTTAGTCATGCAGTTGCTGGTGTCAGTTTTGTTGAACACACATTTATCAAGGAGGATGATGAAGGAGCTCAAAGAGAGACGCAGTTCATCTGGTTGCTAACGATGTGATGTGTTGTTCGTCACTAATATACAGTAACTAGTAGAAATGTTTTGTATTGTTTATGGGTGAGTGATGTAGTTGTTTTGTTTATGGTTCAAGAAACTGGTCAGACGTTAATAGATTTTTGACTTTGCGGTTAGGATCTGTCAAAGATGTGGTGATGAGAAATACACTTGTGAGTAAGACTATGCAGAAAAGACACAGTCGCCACTTTATTAGGTAGACCTATACAATCTAATGCAATTCAAAAACACCTCGGCCATAAAGTCTGCTTTTATGAAGTTTATATGTTCAGTTTTTGTGGATATTGTTAGAAATGTGTTAATTGAAATATATGTGAGGGCATGTTGTACTGTACAACATTTTACTGAGAGGTGTTTCCCTCTTTGTCCTCCCTACATGAGTAGGTAAAATATCAGAAACATCTCTGAATACAATGTCCAGTACAACACCACCACTAACTATGACCTCAGTGCTAAAACAGATAATTAAATTAAAACCATCATGGCAGAACAGTTGTATTGGATTGTATTAGATTGCACAACGGTACCTAATAAAGTGGCTGCTGGATGTAACATCTTCATTAATGAAGGAACATCACAAAGATCAGCATTTCCAACTTTTCCTTACAATGAACATCAGGCGAAAAGACAAACCTGAATTCAGAAAACCTTCTCTGGTCTGTTATTGTGTATCACTTTATACCTCAAATTTTAAATTTTAAATTCAAATTAACCATATTTCTGTTTCACATATGAAAAATAATTACACACATAGCTTACAGTCGTTTCAAAATGCATTCATGCAACAATATCAAAATAATCTATAAATACAAAATGATTTCTTTGACATTAAAATATGTTCAGGGTTTGTTTGCATTAGTCCACTGTATACATACTTTTTTATTTCTGTTTATGTCCATATACCCCACTGAGGGGCCAATGTGGAATAAAGAACATTCTAAGAGAAAATTTAAAAATTAGGTAAAGTAAGTAAGTAAAAAATTGTTTATTTATTCAAGAATATCAATATTTAGTTGAGATAAAGACTGACTTAGTGGATGGTCAGTGTCACTAAATATGTTTAGCAAGCTGGGAGTAAATGTCATTTCCATCTCATGTTTGAAGACTGGACGATTTGAAAGATGCATTAGTTTTATTACACCCAGAGACAGCGCTCGATCAAACACACAATTAGAGTTTTTCATTCCAAACAGTCTGTCTCTACTTATGAACATTTCCGGGTAACGTTTAATTTACAGTGGCCACTCTTGAGCTTAACACCAGTCACTGACGGCTCAATCTGTCCAGAAGTTCTGATAAAAATAGACTTTGTATCATTACTGTCTGAGGTCTTCACTGCAGCGGCTCTCAGATAAAACCCAGTTACTAGACCAACCCAAAAGTGACCTCTAGTGGGGACTGCTGCTTATTACAGAAAGAGATGCCACCATTATGCTTCCAAGTGTCTTTGACATTATGATCCCAAAAGGTTTACGAGACACTCAGTTCAGATCTGTCTTATAGGTTTTACAGTGATGTTATCAAACCATCATATCATTATGTTTAAAGGCTCTGCACACTCTCTAGCAGAGCTCTGCTCAGGACTGTGTGGCTGGAAGTGTGCTTGACTGACATCTCCATTACTCTTCTTTTGGTTCTGTTTCACCTGTTGATGTGGGAAAAGCTGGATATTTGCTATTTCTTTGAAGCATATGCACTTTCCAGCATTGCTCTGCCCACAGCCAGCCTGCAGCTCTGATCAGCCAGAATATGTGAAACACCTGTTTTATCAGTAACATAAAAAGCTGTGTGAATTGGCAGATTTGCAGAGGCATGAAAGCGGCTGTAATCATTATTCTTATAATAACAATGTATCAAATGTCAACATGAAAACATGTGACAATGTGAAAGGTGCTGCTCGTAGTGATGAACCTACAGGGAATAATCACCTGAGTCTTTATTGTGAGACTCACTCCGCTATGGGAGTATGGGAGCCACTAGCGGAGCATTGAGCAGCAAAGAGTCATAGATTTCCCCCAGGAGTTAGTAGAAACTAGAAATAGGGTTAAAAAAGAGTGACTGTGGGATTTTCATTCCCCAGGTGACACTTTCATTTCACTGAAAATAAATACACAGTGAACTTTTTATATTTATATCTATTAATTTGGCAGACAATATGATAAAATTTTAATGTACCTTTGTAATAGGACTATGTAGTAAAGTAACATTTCATGTGCCCATTTAACCATTGAGTGAACATTACAGCAAATACTACGTACAAGAGTGTGTGTCCATTTTGGAGAAGAAACAATAGAAGCTAAAATTCAATATTGGACACACACACACACACACACACACACACACACACACACACACACACACACACACACACACACACACACACTGAGCTGTGCTCTCCATGAGGGTGTAGCAAGCAGAATGCCAGATCTGCTTTTGGAGAGATTTGTTGACAGATATTTTGTATGAGCTCATCTAACATTGGACTCATTACCTTGTTATTTATTTTAGACAACTTGGCCAAACTAGTTCTGGGATGTGAGATGTTCAAGTTTAGAGAGAGTTCACACCACCTCAGACTTCGTGACCTGAGATGACTCTGACATGAGTGACAGATACTCTGGGTCTCACAGTGTCTTGCATAAGCTTCCTTTCACTGAAGCGTCAGAGCTCCCTCGTGGTGCTTTTTCATTAGTTTGAAGCTTTAGAAGAATTTAAACTGTGAGACGTTTCCAAGTCTTAATGGAAAAAAAAATCAAAGCTCAGAGGTGAATCAGCTTTTGAGGAATCAGGAAACTAAGACTTGTTTTTTGGTTTGAAAATTTAACAGTTGGATTTTGAAATCAAATTTCTCATTATCATGGAAAGTGCAAAATTGTCATTCACAAGCAAATCAGCCCCCTATCTTCTTGTTTAAAAAATAGACTTATATTTCCACTTATTTTCTTTAGCATCTGCTGTCATTTTTATCGGGTTTGTAATGTCTAGCAAAGAAAAGGCAGCATGGAGATAAACAGGAAATCAAAATTTTGATCATATGGTAGCTTTAGTTTTTTTATTCATTGTTCTTGTTCAAGCTGCTGCAAGATCTTTATTTCAGCCATGTTCAAAAATACAGCTTCAGTTTTGGTTCAGATTTTACTTGCACTCAAATATCTATTTATTCTGTCTATTCATGTCTGGCTTTAGTCTAATCTAAATTCAAGATGAGGTCAGTTTCTCCTTTTGTTTCTTTTTTTCCATCTCTTTACTGTATCCCTTTCTCTTTTTTCTCTCCATCACCCCTTCTTCCTCTTTAATCTAAAATGGTAGGGATTAATCCCGCTCTGTTTATGTCCTTTTAATTCTCCCTCTAAAGACTCTTCATGCTGTAGATGAAGTCATTTGGATGTTGATGTGACATGTGAATGAGAGAGGAGAGGGAGGGAGGAGGGGGAGAGAGAGAATGACTGAAAAGGAAAGAGAGAGAGGGAAGGGGCATGGGGGGGCGGGGGGGGGGGGGGGTTAAAAGTGTTGATCAGTTGTAAAGAGAAAAGAGACAGTTATGCTCTCTTGCCCTGAGGTGACACCCGAGTGAACTGGTTTTAGTGGAGGTTGTTTGGTTTCCTGCCTCTTTGTTTAGTGACATCGCTGGACTCTGGATCATATATAGACATGGGTGGAGTCATTCAGGATCCCTCTTGCATGGATTAGAGCTGGTTTTCATCTGTGTAGTATCAGATGTGACCAGTAGCAACCAGCATGGGACGCTCAGAACCATTGTCTCTGACTTCAGCGCTTGAACCTGAGCTGCTCCTCTGAAGCCCAAAGAAACAAGGCAGATGAAAAAAAGGGAGAAGAGGAGCTGAAAAACAGACAAATAAGAACTGAACAAAGTTTCAGTGGAAAAGGGTGAGATTGCTTGTTGCTCAGGAGAGGTTTGGTAATGGGCAACTGCACCAAACCATCTATGAAAGACAAAATGACGAAGGTAAGAGCAATCCTTCTCATCTGTGTTAGGCTTTGCAGCTGGATGCAGCTTCATGCTTTTGCTTGCATTATAGATATTAATAATTTGTATTTGTGTGGTTTACTGTGCTTGGTTAAAACATCTCTGCAACTTTGAGCATGAAAGTTCATTATTGACCTTTGGAAACAGTATATGTTGCAAAACAATCCAAGCTCAGTCGCCCCCTTACTTGCTTTTGGTGCTTTCATAACAAACTTTGAATGCTATTTTGATTCATCTTATATTATTGTAAATGCAGGAAACATCAGACATATATGGTGAAATCTCTGCACTGATTGTTTTGAACCCTCTCATATAAAATGTCACACAATGTGCAACTTCTTACTGTAATAGTATTATGTACTGATACAAGACGTCAGTCATTAGACCAGACACTCAGTGGAATTAACTCAGTGACTGTCAGCATTGTAAGACAGGCAGCAGGACGGATGCAGAAGGAGACGGTCGAGATCAAGACAGTTTGTCACAGCGAGAAAAATATCTGATGTGAGTGGATTGCCTTGAAATAATAAGCAGTTTATGTAATCCAGGCTTACAGCCTCATTCTATCTAATGTTTGCATGACTAGGAAACAGAGGGTGCTAACCTTGTTCCTTGAAAGATCAGATTGTGTTTTTGTGTGTGAAGAAATCAGTCATAGAGACAGTGTGTGACTGAGAATGAGCATGGCAGGTTAACAGCCTGGTCTGTCTCTAAAGGGGGTAATGGAGGGGCCCCTCCGGGGTAAGGTGAGGGCAGTGGGCCAGCAGGGTCTGCAGCCAGAGGGACAGGAGGATCAGGACATGGAGGATAAGCCGTTCAAGGATCCCGTCGGTGCCTTGGTGAAGAACTGCAACATGCTGCACAACATCGTGGGTCCGGCCTGTATCTTCCTTAAACGGGGCTTTTCTCAGACACTCGTATGTACACAAAGTGTGCACACTGTGTCCTCACACAACCCCGGTGCAACTTTTTCCACTCGTTTCGATTCATTTTCTTCCTCACATTGTAGCTGACCCTCACTCCTGCTCTCCACCATACCAGCTGTGTCATCCCACCACATCACCTCTCTCTGGTCCGGGTCAGACGATCAAACCTCTTGGCACCACTCATGCTGAAAGAGGTCGATCATTCAGTTCCATGGAAAATTATTGACTGACTGTGTGGAGCTATATGCTAAAATGTGTGGTGCTGTGGAGGACAAGGATGAATTTCCAACCACATCAAGTTTCCCCAAGGCCCCACAGAGGGCCCCTGAGGATTCTTGGGTCACTGAATAACAGTTAGTTGTAATTTGACTGATTACAGATTTCATTGGTAATAGTATATACACCAAAAAAGCACAATATAAACTAAAATAATAAGATGCTTAATTATCCAGGAACATTTTTACCCACTCTTGAAGCTGTGTAGCGAGGACTTGTGTCTAAATCTCATTTTAATTACTTTATTATTTCAGTTGATATGTTTATTAGGACTGGGTACTTTTACAACATGGGAGCACAAGTTTGCTTCTGTGGCTCTGGGAAAAAGTAAAAAACCATATTCATTCTTTGTTCATGTCAAACTAGAATGAATTCCATTAATGTTGTTGTAAAGTCCCTTGTTAACAAATTAGAGGACGTCTATTTATAATTCAGTTTGGATTTGAGTCGCTGTCTGTTTAGTTTTATCATGTGATAAAAGTCTTTCATCAGAGCAACCAAAGTAAATAAAGTGATCTCAGAGGATTTGTCTCATATTGTTCCCTCTCTAAAGCTCTTACTTTAACTTTGTACTGAATCCCAACTTCCACTGTATGAGTGTGTTCTTTTGTATGGACGGGCTTGCGTGTGAGCTTGAGTGCTATGTGCATCCAGTATATTGACATACATCATATGTGTGTGTCTCAACAGTGGGCACGTGTCCAAAGGTATCTTTACCAACTAAACCTCCCAGATATCCTAATCTCTCGATGTTTGTTGCCCGGCAACCACCCACAACTAGTCTGGTTGCCACTTGTGATTTGTGCAATATGAATTGTCATATACTGTATATCATATTGTGGTATACAATTTAATCCATACAGATTTAGACAGATTTTCATTTCGAGATGCACCGGTTTGTCTGTCTACAGTAATACAGCTTACCGAACAAATGTAAAAACACGCAGCGCTGAATCACCGTCACTCTTCCACATTTGAAAATGTGTATAGTATAAAACCCTGACCATAATACATCGTCAGTTTTAAAACAATTTTAATGTACAACATCTCATACACTCTCTAACTCAGTTCAACCATATAACATCAAAGTCCAGAATTCAGGACTTTGGTTATACATAACTGAAAATATGTGTTTCATGATATTCCCACTCATTATTCATTTGTTCTGTGTTGATCTGATCACTTGATGTTTGTGTTTCATTTCTTCCTTGTTCAATGTGCCACTGTGTCATTATTAATGTGTGTGTGTGTGTGTGTGTGTGTGTGTGTGTTTACATGCTTGTATGACTGTTGCTGCAGTGATGCTCTAAATCAGACAGTGTTTATATCTCTACTATGCCAAACAAGCTTTCCAAATATCCTCTCTCTCTCTCTCTCTTTCTCTCTCTCTCTCTCTCTGTGTGTGTGTGTATGTGTATGAGTGAGAGAGAGAGAGAGAGAGAGAGAGAGAGAGATGTTTTGTACAGTATGAAGTGAGAGGCTAATGTGTGAAACTTCTCCCTCCAACAGGACAGAGAGCTGAGACCAGAGGAGATTGATGGTGAGATGATTTATCTACAGCACAGCAGAGTGTGTTTCTGCTTCACGTGCCTTAATGCGCCAACTGACTATGAATGTGTGTTTTCACCAGAGCTCCGTGAAGCGTTTGTGGAGTTTGATAAGAATAAAGACGGCTACATCAGCCATAAAGACCTGGGAGAGTGTATGAGGACCATGGGATACATGCCCACAGAGATGGAGCTCATCGAGCTGAGCCAGCAGATCTGTGAGTGGAACAGCAGCCTGAAATAGAACAGAACAGAACAGAACAGAGCAGAATAGAACAGAGCAGAACAGAACAGAACAGAACAGAACAAAGCAGAATAGAACAGAACAGAACAGAACAGAACAGAATAAAATAGGATAGAAGAGAACATAATTGAATTGAATTGAATTTAATTGAACAATGTAGAGTAGAATAGAATAGAATAGGAGCAGAAACAGTACAACTGAGCAGAACATAATGAAAATGTTAGTTGCAGAAAGTTATCCTATACTTCCAGCTGAGCTCCATGGTAGTCTCTGTGTGTGTGTCCTGCAGGTGGAGGTAAAGTGGACTTTGAGGACTTTGTGGAGCTGATGGGACCCAAGATGCTGGCGGAGACAGCAGACATGATCGGAGTCAAAGAACTACGAGATGCATTCAAAGAGGTCAGGATATACATGTTGTTAATTAAAGCTGGCTGTTGGAACATTTTGTTTAACTCTAACCTCTGATTCATTTGGAAACAATGAAGAGACAAGAGCGCAGGCGAGGCTAGCTCCAGGTTTAGCAAGATCCACACAAGATGGACAGATTTTTGATAGGGAACAAAATAAAGCAAAGTTAACCGTATATTTTTTTTATTTGTACAACAGAGACTAATAAGAACCGTGTGGAAAGAAAAAGGCAATTCACATTCAGCTTTCCCCCTGTCATTTGTCCTGTGATGTGATCCTCAGTGTCTCCCTTTGTGTCCAGTTTGACTCTAACGGTGACGGGCAGATCAGCCTAACGGAGCTGCGTGAGGCCATGAAGAAGCTGATGGGAGAACAAGTGACCAACAGAGAGATCAACGAGATCCTCCGAGATGTCGACCTCAACGGAGACGGTCTGGTGGACTTTGAGGGTAAGAGAAATCCTCTTTGCTTTTATGGAATGTCTTTGGCAAAGATGTTCATCCTCATCTTCCTCCCCCTCACTCCTCTGTCTTGTGTTTTTTCAGAGTTTGTGCGAATGATGTCCCGCTGACTGGTTCAGCTGCCCACATGTCAGATGGACAGACAGACATTATGCAACTGCTGGATAAGAGAACACACTGCACATGTGGTGACCATTCTTCATCTGCTCTTAGGAGCAGGCATCTAAAATTATATTTTTATATTAAATAAAGGAAAACGAAAAAAAAAAAAAGGCTTTGAATAGACAAATAGCATCCAGCCTACAAATAACATGACTGTCCACTTCTGATCTCACGGTGCAACACTATAGAGCATTATAACAGCTGTGAAACATATCAAAAGCTTCATAGACTTTGTGTTTTTTAGATGTATTTTTATATATAGGTGTTTGTCCTTTGAGTGTAAAATCTTGTTTGTAAAACTCTTAAGTTTTTTTCATTAAAGAAATGTACAAAAATTCAATGAATGGGCAAATTATTCCAACCAGGTGAACTTGTGAAAGATGTGACATCCAATGACCTTATTAAGCTCCATAAATACAGAGTTTGTAACGTCAACAGCATGCAGCACAGTAAATCGAGTACATTGGCAAAAGAGAAGTTTGGGGCCTAAACAAGAGCATACACTGTCTGTGCTGAAGTAAACATAGTGCGTATGAAAATATCAATAGTTCCAAACAAGTCAGAGGGTACACATAAACATGAACATATTTAGCATATTTAACGTTTCCTCTCTTGCGTTACATGTAAACTTGAAAGTTCTGACAGAATCAGTCTTGAGTGGAGTTGGGTATTAAACAGTTATGAGAAGCACAGGGAGCTGCTTTTACTTTAACTTCAGGGCTGATGTTAGCATCTGTGATCCTACTGTTAAAACTAACATTGTTTCAAAGGATAATATCAGTAACACTGTATCGTTCCACAAAGACTAGAGCCTCTGTGGCACACTGCATCAACGATAAGCATTCACAAAGTACAGTAGCTTATGTGGCTGATGGTCTCTCCCTGTCCAGCAAATATAAGGGACACGTGGAGGACCTGAGGACCTGACCCCTGGGACACAGCTGTCTCTCATCTTAATGCTGTTTCTGAGCAATGAGCCTGCAGTGCACAAACAGTAAGTTCAACCACAGTCTCAAAGAAGTTCAGTTACAGATTTTCACTGTAGACGGAATAAAAAAATTATTTTCTAATTAAATTGTATATATATATATATATAATATATAAAATTCATTTCATATATTGTATATATTTATTCTACAAATGTTCTACAAATTATATTGAAGTATAAACACTGACTATAATACATGTGGTCAGTTTCAAAACAATGTAAGTATAAAGTGTAAATATACAACAGCTCGTTGTCAGGATGTTGAGGTAAGTTGGACCCAAATGCAGCCAACACATGGGAGACGGTGCAGGCAGGTTTATTTAACAAAGAACAGACATGAACAGACGTGAACAAACCCTGAACTAAACAGACGAACCAACACAGACAAAGGGGAGCACAAAGACTATATAGACACAGGAGGCAAGGTGATTGCACACAGGTGAAACACATTAGGGCGGGGCAGACAATCACTACACAGAAACGAGACCAAGACAAGAAGCATAACACAGACACACAAGGAAACCAATACAAAATAAAACAGGAAGTGCAAAAAGTCCAAAATAAAACTAACAAAAAGTGTCTGCCATGGCAAAACATGACACTCGTACTCTCTCTATCTCAGCTCAACCATATAAAGCACTTTGGTTACACGTAACTGAAAATATGCGTTTAATAATATTTCCCGCTCATTATTCATTTGTTCTGTGTCATTTTGGTCACTTGATGGCAAAGTTTACTTTGAATTTTTTATTTGTAAAACAGAAACTAATAAGAAACGTGGGGTAAAAAAAATGCAATCCAAATTCTTGAAGTGTTATTTAAATAAATTCAACTTTCCTACATTCGTTTGTACTGTAGTCTCCCCATGTTGTTGTTCAGGTGTCAGGGTGGGGGTGTACATTTTTTTCAGTTTGCAAAGGAGGTCATGTCAGAAAGGTTTGGGAACTAGCACAGCATTTCTTGCTTCATGACAGCGAGGGAGATGGCAATGCAGACTGCACTGAGAGCAAACTAATCCATTTCCTCAGATGCCCCCGTGTATTCAATATGAAAGTATAAAAAGAAGATATGATTCAATTTAGATGTGATGTGATCCTATCAGCAGAAAATTCGGTCTGTCCTGTTGTTTTCTTACAAAGCCTGTGTGACACAATCTGGCAACTATGTCACATGATCAGCTTCACAGGACTGATACTGCCCTGTTGGCCAACTTTTCTATACACTACACACTTTCTTTTTTTTTTTTTAAACAAAACACTACTTGATGACAATGCAAGCCTTTTAAATCCCATTCAACATGAGCATAATAGGACTGTTTATTTGCCTTACCACATTTTCACAAAGAAAACTATGAACAAATAACTACTGGTTAAAGTTTTAAGTCAATCATGAAATAATATTTGATGTCCAGTTAGCATCCAAAATACTGAGCAAAAAACCAGCGATTGATAAATGATCAAATCTGATTATTCATCTCAACATTTTATTTTACCAGTTTTGTTCACTAAGATTTTCATTCGGGGGATTTTTCAGTAATAAGTAACAAAGACAGCATCTTTGAAATCAAGATTTTCCATTTTATTGAAAACTTGGCCAGGATTCTGTACAGCAGAGAGAGTGTGCAGTGCACAGGGGCAAGAAGACGGGGGGTAGGGGGCTCAAGGGACGTTTCCCATGGTGCATCATACCCTGAGCCGAGAATCGTGTGTAAAACAGCAAGAGGCTTTGTGCTCCCTCTTTGGTGTCTCAGATGACAGTGGAGGGGAATGAAGTGAGGGACTAAAAAAGGGTGAAAGGGGGGGAAAGCAAAGCTCAGCCCATAGGGGAGAAAGAGAAAAGTAGAGACAGAGAGGAATGGAGGATGGTCCTTCCACTGAGGTGTTGTCTCCGATCAGGGGCAGATCTAGATCCTCACCCTTCCCCTCACTGCATTAGACCGTTTAAGGTACTGAGGTAAAGGCCTCAGACATCTCTCCCCCTTTCCCTCTTCCTCCGCCCCTCTCCCTCACCTCCGCTCTTTCTCTTTCTCTCCTTGCCTGAACCTCACTTGCTGGCCATGGTGTAGCAGCCCTGTTGGTGCCACTGCATGTCACGGATACGCCTCACGGACTGGAACTGAGGATGGCGGGCGCCATACTCGTTGAAGTGCCTGAAGTCGCCCTTCTCCAGCAGGTACTGGCTGCCACGGTATCCAGGGAACTGGTATCCCACCCAGCTGGGAAAGACAGAGGAAAAGTGTCAGTATAGGATTGATTTTATGTCTTTTTATGTCATTTGAGTCCTGCCTTTGAGCTCTCAACCTCATATGTGAGCTGCAACCACTGTACAGTCATCTGCAGCAGACACTCACGTTCCACAGCTGACAATGATACTGCCGACTCTGTCGGTGAAGCCATAGGAGAACAGGCTGGGAACGTCATCGTCCATGATCTCCATCTTGCGGCCCTTGAACTCTCCCACCTCGTACAGGCAGATCTTGTGCTTCTCAGGGTCCTGGAAGAGAGAAATGCATGGGGAAAGATGAGGTCAGAGAAAAGTCTAAAGCAAAAGAGACAGAAAAAATAGACAAGAGAGGAATGAAACAGATAAAAGATGTTTTTTTGTTTTTTTTACCATTTTGACAGGCCTGAAGGACAGCAGGTAGTCGTTCTTCTGGCAGTTGCTCCAGGAGTCCCAGCGAGGATACTCTCCCTTCTCCAGGATGTACATCTCGCCACAGAAGTTCATCTGCTCAAAGCCCACGAAGCTGCAGATGACATGAGATGTTATGAAGTATCCAGGCAAGGCTACAGGATCTGTTTGAAATGTGAAAACACATAGGCCTATGTCTCCTTTGAGATACTTACGGTCCACACTCAACGCGCAGGGAACGCACGCGGTCCATGCCCAGCTCACACACATTCATGCACTCGTTGCTGATCTCGATCATGCGACCCTGGAAGTTCTCCTGGTCGAACACGTACATCTGGAGGAGACAAGATGCACACAGACAAGTCAGTACAGCAACAAACTAAATAGATATGAGCAACTTTCATCTCCGTGTAAAGATGAAGTGTAATGTGAGAGCCACCCACCTTGTAGGACATCATTCCCATCTCAGACTTCTTGCTCTGAGCAGCCTTCCCGTCAGTCTGGGAAGAAGTCTTGGACTTATCTCCACTGGACATGATTACTGGATGGAAAGAGAGGAAAAAACATTGAGGGGTACAATCATGTGACAAATATACGGGAATGATAGAGGATGTATAAAAATATATAGAGTAATCTGTATTTTCCAGTCTAACCCTCCTGCTTTGTATCTCCACACACCTGCAGGTTTACATTACGCATGTGTGCACCTTACCTGTCTGTGTGTGCGATGCCTGTGCCGAAACCTCACTCAGAGTGTGTGTGGCTCGGAGTGCGCCCATGCCTTTTATACGCTGGCGCCCACAGGAGAGGGATTATGGGGAGAGAAACAAACCTGCTGAGGTCAGAGACGAGAGACAAAAGAAACCCCACATCATCAGAGAGGGACGGACAGAGGGGATGGGCGGAGGCAGAGGACGACTGACAGAAGCTGGAGAATAGACTGAAGCCCAGTTACTAACAGAACTAGAAAAGTACAAGTTGGATTCCTGAGGTCAAGTTTAAAAGTAGTGCATGTAACTTAAACCATAATTAAAAATCTATAATTCATTTTCTATACCATAACAATCAACTTATTCCTAATATAAACCAGTATAGATAGACGGATTGCACTGATTGCAAACAGTGACATGAATTATAACCTCAGGTTTTCAGATAAGGTGGATAAAGTTCAATGTCATTTAACAGAAATGTTCCAAGCTACAACATGTTTCCAGATAATGTCAGAGGAGTTCATTCATGTCTGATACATAAATCTGAATGAAATGCTTCACAAATTAAGGTCTGAATTCACCAAACTTTCCATCTGGTAGACCCCATTGTAGATGTATAGGACCACAGACCCACATTTGTTTTATGAAACAAAAGCTAAGGTAATTTTTTTTTAATTGGTGCAACTTATAACTGTTTAAATGGTGATGTAACTGCAGGGAAATCCTTCACTAATGAGTCTAAATGAGTGAAAATCAAAATCAGGCCATGACCCCTTATTGAAAAACCATTGGTCAAGTTAAACCATAGACATCATCTATGTGCACACAAGTGTAGTCTACCTGCACCCTTGAGAGTGCGCGCACAAGATGACAATGAGATTCCGTTAAACGAAGAGGGGGGAAATGAAACCTTTACTATCCCTTAACATTTCTACACATTCATCCAGACCCACCCGGTTATCTCCTTCTGTGTGCCCCGCGGTGCCTCTGCTCCGCCGTTAATCCCCACATTCTCCACCCCGATCCCGGCCCTTTGTGCCTGGGCACGCGCTGGACTGCTGACCGGGGCCCGAACATACCGGAGCGCCTTTGTTTCAGAACACCAGCAGCACTATAGGATCTGCTGAGCTGGCCGCTGCAGCAGGACAACAGCGCCCAGCGGCCACGCCAGGCGCACCGAGAGCGCGCCGCGCTGCTGCCGCTGTGACGGTGTGCATGGTCCCAGTCAGAGCCGTGGACGCGCAGCTGAAGGCGCGCTCCCCGACCGTCGGTATAAAACTGAAGCGCCAGGTTCTCTCAAAGCTCTACGCGAGGCAGGCGGTAGGCGCGTACCACTCCCGAGCTCTTCCAATAAAGTGCCAATCTAGGTAAGGCTGCATCTCTGCTCTCAACTCAGCTCAGGTCAGACACACAGGTGCGCTCCATGCGCTTCACACAGCCACTGAAAACCAAAAGCACTTTCTGAAACACCTGTACAGTAACGGCTACCAGATTTGATCAAACTTGTAATTGAACAGTTTTAATATATTTCACTTCTATTTGATTTTTGATTGAAAAAGTAAATTGTTTTTGCCCAGACCCCACTAACTATTCAGTTTAAGAGTTTTATGAATTCTGTCAAAATATTGCAGCTAAATAAAAAAGTGTTCCTCTGATAATTGGAAGTGACACTGTGTTGAACACCATCATGCTTAAAACTAATTTAAAACAACTTGCTAAACAGGTTATTATGTTATTGAATGGCTGATGCTCTGATATATTCCCTCTCCTGCCTGGTTTTCTTTACCTCCTTCTCTCTGTCCTCATGTTCCACCGCAGGCGTAAAGATGTACAGAACTACAAGATCCCCAATGATGCAGCCACTGGTCAACTCAGGAATGGGCATGGCTCCTTTCTTCAAGGTAAACACACACACACACACACACACACTTGACTGTACTCACATCAGTGCACTCCCTTATGTTACCAAGATAAGATTTTTTAAAGGTGGATCAGGAGGAGTAGGAAGCATTTATGGGTTACACTTGTTACACAGTGTTGTGTGCATCCCTATACTTGATGTTGATGACTGCTGATTAATCCCCCTGCTCCTCCCTCACAGGTGACTGTGTTCGAGCAGGAGCATTTCCAGGGCAAGTGCCTGGAGTTCACCTCCGAGTGCTGCAACATCCAGGAGTGTGGACTGGACAACATCCGCTCCATCAGGGTGGAGAGCGGAGCGTAAGTCTCACAGACTTTGACTCTGTCAACAAGACAAAAATAAGACCCAGTGCAGTGAGTGTAGAAAACTAAATGAAATGATCGTCAAGGTAAACTATTATCTCCTTTAATACATCCGTCCCAAACACAAAGAGTCATGTTGGATGCTTTACGCACTGAGACAGATGAGATGTGGAGTATGTAAAGGGAGCTGAACTTTAACATGAATGATGTCCTTAATAGTTTGCACATTTGGTGTATCTGCCTGTTTAAAAGATGTACAATAACTCTCCAAAGGGCTTCTAATTTAGGGTCTAAGTTAGATTACACAAAGAAACTTCCTCAATTTTGTACACAATAAAGTGATGTGTGTGTATTATCATGTAAACAGGCCATTCTCTCTCTCTCTCTCTCTCTCTCTCTCTCTCCGTGAAGCTGGGTGGGTTTTGAGCACCATGACTTCCAGGGCCAGCAGTTCATCCTGGAGAGAGGAGAGTACCCCCACTGGGACGCTTACAGCGGTTCCCTCTCCTACCACGTGGAGCGCCTCATGTCTCTGCGCCCCATCTACTGCGCCGTGAGTACATCCTGACTCCTAGTGTTCATGTGACAGTCAGCAATTACCTCGGCAATCCAAAAAAAAAGACAAATGTTTCTTTCACCCTTACAGTCCCACCAGAGTAGTCGCATGATCATCTTTGAGAGAGAGAACTTCATGGGCCGCAGTGTGGAGATCTGTGACGACTACCCCTCTCTGCAGGGCATGGGCTGGATGATGCCTGAAGTTGGCTCCATGCATGTGCAGTGCGGCGCGTGAGTTATCACAAATTTGTCGGTGTAAATTTGATGGTGTAAACTGTACCAGTGGGATGTTTATTTGCAAAACCTGAACAATTGTCTCTATAAATGATCCTTCAAGGAATGTACACTTGACCATCCATTAATATTTATCAACATTGATCTCTCAGTTAAACTGAGTTTTCTTACATTAACTCTTGTGTATTTCTCTATTGCTTTTTCTTTCCTATCCTTATTTTCTCTTGCTTTAATGACCCAAAATCACCACATGGACCATTAAGCATCATCTAATTCAACCTTCACACTTCCCAAATAGACATGTCTGTCCACCCCTATAATCCCTCACTAGCTTGTATTGTATGTAATAGACATACCAGCTGAAAGCTCTGAGCATGTACTAAATCCCCTCTCTGCCACACTCCTAAAATAGTCCCACTAACCCTCACCGCTTTCTCTGTCTATCCCACAGCTTTGTGTGCTACCAGTACCCTGGCTATAGGGGCCAGCAGTACATCATGGAGTGTGAGAGACACAGTGGAGACTACCAGCACTGGAGGAACTGGGGCTCTCACTGCCAGACCCCCCAGATCCAGTCCATCAGGCGCATCCAGCACTGAGAGGAGGACAGGCTGAGACCGAGCCGTGGCCTCAGCGCCACGGACAGCGTGTCCCCTTGACTCCCCCTCTCTAAACCCATAACCCCCTCCTCTCTATTTCTTTCTTTCTCTCTTCAATCCTTCCCTTCCTCTTGACTTGAGCCTCAACAGCCGCCCCAACCTGAGTCAACACTACCACTGATTTACAGCCGCTGCCAGAGTGTGATAAGAGACAATATCGCACTGTTAAAGCACAGGGAAACACACGCTCCACACATACACACACACACGCTGACATAACTGACACTCACACAGTGTCTTTTTACTTGGTTTAGAGGTCCCTACGCTCTCACACACGCAAACACACACCTGGGCTGTACTCTCACCTGAGCTGGGCGATGAGTAGAGCATTTCCTGAGCGAGCTGGCACCAAACAGAGGGGAGATGAACGATCATGAAAACCTCACCAGCTGCGCTCACTCTGCTCTGCGCCGTGGTGCAGCTCAGATGTGTTTTGTTGTTGTGTGTAGGAGGTTGATCCACAGGTTGATAACTAATAAAACTCATTTTCAATTCATGTATTCTTGTTTTATTATTGATAAGTGTGTGAGTGATGCCTGAGAGAGCATGGGCGTTGAGACAAGTTTAGAAAAACACACATGCATGAATAAAGTGGGCTGTCCACTTCGCTCTCTTCCCCTCTCTTTGCAGAATGAAACACACACGCAATGACTGTGGTTTACTACAGTTCAAGTTTTCAAAATGGTAAAAAGTATGAAAAGGTCTATAGAAGAGGAATGTCTACATAAGTCAGAGGTTTCTGCTGATGTTGTGATTCGAAAAAATAAACCATGTCACTATTGGATGACATTGTAACTGACTTGAAGTCAAGCTGCCCACTGATGTGAAGGATGAAACTACGAGCTTTTCACAAGTCGGGTGTTAAGTGGTGTTTAAAACCACATTTGCTCAAGCCTGCAACCACATGATAATCTGTATTTAAAACTATACCTGCCTAACTAATTTAAGGTACTAAATTTATTATGGTGGTTGAGAGGACTGAACGCACGGTGACTGGAGAAAACATGACAACAGGCAAAACACAGAAAATGAAGAAAGTATCTTCACCACAACGGAGTTTACGCTCAGGAAAAATGCTGCAAATAAATCAAACATGAGCAAATTAAGAAATACATTTGCTATTTTGACAATATGCAGCATAAAAAATGTGCTGCAAATACAGAAAACACAAGCAAACAGCCTCATTTTCACTGATGTTGTATAGACCTGATACCACGCAAGGAAAACAAGAGAAATCTTTAATGTAGAAATCTGAGTCCTAGACTCAAAAGTGCCACGAGGAACGCTGTGAAACATAACTCGACAGTAAAACAAGGAAGACAAGAGTTTTCCTGGGACATTTACAAATTGTGGCAGAACAGAGGCGGACATTATCAATCGTATTTACAACTAATACAGTCATAGTCATATTTACAACTAACAAAACACTCTTGAATCCTTTGACAGATAAACCTGATTTTTTTTTTCCAGTGAATCTCCTCTGAAACTGTTTGGTTAGTGTTGTTTTCAACACTTGACAGTTAAAACAAACTTCTCTGAACACATCTGTTTAACAGTAACAAATTACTTAATCTTGCAGCAACAACCTTGTAACTCTTTATATAAAATCAATGGTTAAATATCTACAAAATACAAAAAAAAAGAACAACCCCAGTCACCTGTGTTCTCAACTCAAGAGCAGAAACTAAATCTCTGCCCACATACTATACAGTTGTTTGCTTTAGCTTTTAGTTTTTGTGCTTTATGCACAATGATACAAAACTGTTTCAGGTTTTTACCACATTACTCTTTTTCAGTCTGAACAAATAGTGAACAAGCTGCTCACAGCTTTTCTTTTCTTAAGCATAGGTGGAATCGGAAAACAAACCCCCCCCCACGTGATTGTCAAAAGAGCACAACATAAACAGAAAACATCACTTATAACAGGCATCTATGATGAAACCATATTTGTCTTGATCTCTGCCACTATTCATGTCTCTACTTGACCTTAAAGCTCATAGTTAAGTGAAACAAATTCAGCAATATTTTCTGGGAAATGGAAGAAATAATACAAAGTAAAGAAGACGAGTAGAAATGTAAATGACAATTCTGTCTGTTTGTACTGGGTCACCACAGATGCTAATGTCAGAGCACCTCAGTCTTATATTTTTGGTTAACAAGCTCACCTTTAATCATTGTAGCAAAGACCACTGATGAAGCGTAGCCTGTCTTTTCTCCGACAACATCCACGTCCTCGTCTCCTTCCCCTTCCTCGCCTTCTGAAGACTCTGCCCAGCTGATGACCTCCGGATCAGGGACAGGGCTGGAACCTCCAATCACATCAATGTCCTCGTCTTCCCAGCTTCCTCTTGACCTCTCACTTATCTCTTTTGTTGGATTTGGAGGAGGTGAAACAAAATATGACGTAGTTGGTGCCGTTCTGCTCTGGCAGCGGTCTCTCTCTGTCTGTCCTCGGCAGTCGTCTGTGTGCTTCTCCTGGTCGGTTCTTTCATAAGTGTCTCCATCCACATCGATTATGTCAATACTGCCCTCCGTCTCTTCATCCATCAAGCTTTCTCCTGTTTCTCTGAGTATGATTTCTCTCCACACTGTACTTTTTTCTTCTTGTTCTTTTATTTGCAAAAAATCTCCTTCACTGGTCAGTGACACAGTCTCTACATCGATCACGTCGTCTGCCTCCACTATTGCTTGTTCAGAGGCAAAGCCTGCAGATTTAGAGCTGGGTATGCATGTTTCAGAGGTCGGCTGGGCCATTTGCTCACAGCAAACCCTTTTGGCCACAGTGGCATCGTCGCTTGTCTCCTCCCCGGACTCTCCTCTCTTCTTTCCCCTCCTTGTGGGTCCTTGTGCCTCTTCCTGTGGCTGGACATTCAACTCTTCCTCATGTATCTCTTGATTTTTCTCCAGTTGTCCATTCGTGCCACAGTGCTCTACAGGCTGCAGCTGAATTGTTGGTGTTGAACTCCCACCATTAGATAAACTGAGAAGTTGTCCATTTTTCTTGGGCCCGCCTGGCCTGGAGCGCGGTTGGCCTGCTGAGGGTGGTCGTTTCTCTGCGAGCTGCCCCTCAAGAAAGGGCAAAGTGTCCTGTAAAGCAAATTAACTTTATTACATTTATCAAATGCCTACAAACAGTAGCGTAAAAACATGGCGGCCCTATCTTTAAATTTGAATAAGACATTTGGAAAACACATTTTTGATCTTGTAAAAAAAAAAAAAAAAAAAAAAAAAAGGTCAATGCTCACCACGATATGCGCTTCTCTAAACCTACTCCTGATGGGGTAGGTCTTTGTGCTCCACAACACTGGCTGATTCTTTTGAGACAATGTGCCACCAGGGTATTTCACTGATGATGAACTTGTCTTTATTTTTGCAGGATCCTGAAATACATGTAAGCACAGACAAACCACTCACAATCCAATGTGACCCTCATAATAACACCAGTTATCAGACTTATCAGAGTAGTTAGAAAAGTCTGTCACCATGACTTCCAGACTCTGACAGCTGTGTTCCTGCAGTTTAACTCTGACAGGCAGCGGGACTCTCCTCTCCAGTTTCACCACAGGCATCTGCTTGAGCTGTTTGTCTTCTCGGTCATGAAGGATTTTGATCTTTGCGTCACTTGTTGAGATTGGCGTTTTCACCCTCTTTCTCTCTAATGAGAACAGATATTGGCTTTTTCTTCTCTTGCTCTGTCGTTTGGTTGGTTTTCCATCAGCATGTTTTGGTGTACGAGCAGAGGCTTTGCTTGGCTGGGAACGGCTTGGTCGCGTCTCAGCTTCATCACTCTGCTGCAGTTCTGCTGTTTGCGAGCGTATGACTGGACGGGGTACAAGTGTGTTCTGTAGTCGAGTAGAGTCGGCTGCTACGGTCCGGATCTTGTTTTTTTTGTAATTGTTCCGGACAGTGTTAGACTTTATAGCCTCTGTGGGGGTCTCACCATCCTTCCCTTCCTCTTCCCTGGCACTACAGCTGTTAATGTGTCGCTCAAACGACTGGAGGAAGTGGTTCAGCATATCGTTCAGCTCTCCCTCTCCCTGCTGCTGCAGATCAGGTACCTCACCAGAAGTGGAACTGCTGGCTCCTACAGCAACAACTTGTGTAGACCCTTGAACACCTGGATCTGCTTCCAGGAGACCAGTAGTACAGCCTTGTTTGCTCTGTGTCAAATTCTTCCCAGAGGAGGCGTAGGTACAACTACTGCTACTGGCTGGAAGACGGGGTTGAGAGTGTGGAGTACTGTTGTTGTTGTTTGGTAAAATGTCGAGTCCCATCATCACTTCCTCCAGGAGACGATCAATTTGCTCAGGCTGGTCCTGGTGGGGTGGAGGGGCTGGAGAAGGGAGGGTGGTGGTGTGGAGGAGGGACGTTGCTGGAGACACGTAGGGGGCTGCAGTTGACAGCATGATGGGAGACGGAGAAGGCTGGAGGGAGGGGCTGGGGGAAGATAAGGTATGAATGTTGTAGAATCGCATGGGAGGAGGAGGAAAAGGAAAGGAAACTGATGCTGTTGATTTGGCCCTCGCCCTCTGAGCTCTGCCAACCGGGAGACCGTCCTATAACCAGGGAGAAAAGTGTATTAATTACAAAACAATAAAAATGCAGAACGTTCAAGACAATAAAATGTGTATTTACTAATTATACAGTGGAAAATCAATGAGCAACTATTGTGATTGATGATTTGCTGTTTTACTTTGTGGTCTGTGATAGTTAACTGAACGTCTTTGGGTTTTGGACTGTTGGTCAAACAAAAATAAACTGTATGAAGACATCAGTTTGGACTTCAGGAAACTGTGGTTTTACTGTACTACTCTATCTGTTATATTATAAAATATTTAATATGTAAAGAATAATATAAAGATAGTTTCCACCTATCACATCTCTGGACTGTGACCAGAGATGTGGACCCATCTCATATCCTGTTTCAAAATAAAATGCTC